GCCCCGCCTGCAGTGCGCCGGGCCTGCCGGCGCTCCGTGCGGCCTCCCGCTGGAGTAGAGGGCTTTGGACTTTCCCAGTCCTGTGCCCCTGCTGACAGGGTGAGGCTGTAATAGGAAGGTACAGCTGGCACAGGCTCCCTTCAGGCCTTCGTCTCGTTATTAACGAAGCTGAATTTTGCTAATAACAATCAGATGGGGTTTTTTTGTTTTGTTTTTTTTTAAGCCAGTGTACAGGCCTTTTGCATTTGTGAATACAGAGAGTTAGCGGGGCGCCCCAGGAGGAACCCTTACACCCCTCGTCTGCCTGGTGGGGTGTTTCAGTAGGTGGCGGGGTCCTCCGGCCTGGAGGAGCCTGCTGTGGAAATCGGTGCGGGCTGGGTGCCTTGTACCCTTGACTTCGCACTTGCTGGAAATGCTGCTGGTGGCATTTAAAGCTGAGAGTGGCCTGGGTCTTAATGAGACTAGTGTGGGAACCTCCCTATTCTTGTAGACTGTGTAATGTGCGGGGCTCTGTGTTTTCCTCTCAGTGAGTAAACCTAAAGGGTTTCCACATAACATGGCAGGAGCCATAAATACATGAATACCTTAGGAGCCAGTAGTTTGGGAATTATCGTAATGCCACTCAAGGTAAACTAAATGTTTGTTTGTTTGTAGCAGTATTTCTACTATCAAAGATTCAGAAGTAGTGCATATATCTTCCTTTAGAAGAACAGCTTAGTAAACTGTGATGTGTGAACACAATATGTGTTACCAGGTGATTCGAGTGGTACTTACATTGACTGTACACCCACTGTGTTAAGTAATGTGTATGTTGACGTCGTTTCATTCTCATAATGACCCTTTGAGTTAGGTACTGTTCACTAACTTTCTCATGGAGAAACTGTAGCCTGGAAGGTTAAGTAACTTGCCCAGACCACATAGTAAGTTACGGGAGCACGCTTTGAAGCGGGTAGTCCGGGGTGAGAGTCCTGGCGCTCTGCCACTTACTAACAGAAATGCTGACATCAGATGCTTTTCAGGATTGCAGATGAAAGATGTGCCCCATGTGGTATCTGGCGCAACATTTTTTTTTTTTTTCCTCCTGGCTGAATTGGGGTCAAGTGTTTGTTTGTTTGATGTATATTTTAAAAGAATAGTTTTGTGTATCACTAGGAACACAGTCCCAGAGACTAAAATCCTGATAAATGTTTCTGTTTCTATTTTTCTTACCTTCTCACCTAAAAAGAATAACATCTTGAACTGTTTTCTCTTGGAGATTTTTTGGGTTTTGTGATTACAAAAATGAATATAATTGTTAATCGTCTTTGTTCTAGATGATTCCTATTAATTGCTTCTCATGGTTATTGCTATATTTTATCAAATGTAAGATGCCATTGATTTTAAGTAACACCATGATTGTATATACCACTAAGAAGGAAATTAGCCAGCTGTGCTGGTGATGGGCGTGTGATGTCAGAGATGTGGAGAATGTACGTCCTAAAAGTGATGATGTACAGTTTTCTATGGTAAACTCGACTCGCATCATTGTGAGCATGACCTTTGTGGCCTTTGTTCCTTCTGTTAGCTTTGGGATGGCATACGACTTCATTGACTCCGTGGGGAACGATGTGGATGTTGTCTCTGACTCCGAGGTAAGTGTCCTGATTGGGGAATGTAACCGGGTGTTTGAGCTGGGCATTTACAGCGGGCTCTGTTCAGTCGTCTTGAAAAACTACTGATGAAATAAGACAACCATCTGATTATCAAATACCTTTTTATTACTAAAGCAACACTCTTTAACACATCTCTTTGCTTCAGAGAGAAAGGAACAACCCCCAAAACACTGACAGTGCTAGTACTAATGTTGATGGTTGTACTTTAAAAATAGCAATTACAAGTGATTAGAAGGTTTGGGATAATTTTGTATGTTACTAGTGGAGAATTAGATGTGGTGCTTCTGGCACAGTCTATTGCTTCTTAGATGGTTAGTTTTATCTGATATGCTAAAAGCCTAGGTCAGCACGACAGTGCACCATCAGTTAGGTTGACACAGTGTGGCTTGCAAAGCACAGGCAATGGAGGTTTTATTTATTTTTTAATCCTCACCTGAGGATATTTTTTCCACCGCTTTTCAGAGAGAGAGAAGGGAAGGAGGGAGAGAAACATCGATGTGAAAGAGACACACTGACTGGTTGCTTCCTGCACACGCCCCAACCAGGGCTGGGGATGGAGCCTGCAACTGTGGTACATGCTCTTTGGTCAGAATTGAACCCTGGACCCTTCAGTCCTTGGGCGGATGCTCTGTCCACTGAGCCAAGCCATCTAGGGCTGATGGAGATTTTAAAGAGCTGTCTTTCGTATTTGCATTTAGCTCTTTGTATAAAATACAGTTTATATAACCTCAGGGAAATAAGGTTTATCGTGCTTTAAAATAGAATGAGGTTAAAAATGGAAAGATCCTGAATCACACTAAAAAGGTCTTTCTAAACTCTCTTCTTAATTTTTTTCAGAACATTAAAAAGCTCCTGAAGATCCCATACAGCAAGTCCCACGTGAGCATGGCCGTGCACCGCGTTGGGAGGACCCTCCTGCTAGACGAGCTGGATATCCAGGAACTCTTTATGCGCTCATCACAGGTAGTACAATCCGAAAAGCATCATTTTAACAACTTAAGGGCACTAGAAATACAATTTTGTTTCAAAGAAAGGCCAAAGTGGAAACAAAGTTGAGTATTTCAGCAACAAGAGGTTCCACTGATAATAAAAAAAGCCTTAATAAAAAAACAGAGGAGAGAATTGGCAAGAAACTTATTGATGCCAACCGCCGGGATTCTTGCAAGGAAAAGGATGGGGCCTCGGAAGCTGTGAAAGTCTAAAATTTAAGGGGCTCGTTTAAGTTTTTGAAAAACCCTTCAATGTCTCCATTAAAGGCTCTTACGAAACATCGCCACCAGGAAATACAAACAGTGTGATTCCTACAGATACATAGCGGTCAGAATAACTGGCTCTCTCAGAGCAGAGCTGCTTAGGCTGTGTCGGCAAATGACTGTTTTCCTCCAGTGTATTGATGATGGAGGCTTTCGTGAAAAATAACCATGTCGCTGTGCCCTAAGGCTTACTCTCCATTTCTATATGCTTAACTTTTCATGGACTGTTTGCTACTAGTTCATGATTCTAGCAGCCCCATAGGCCATTCTTTAAAGACCACTCCTGCCATGCTTTGGCAAAGGGAGGTAAGTTACAGCGATTTGAATTGACACTTAAAATAAGTGTTTTTCCCTTTGAAAAGACCACTGTTCTGTCTGTTATGTATGTGCTAGCTACTGGGCAAGGTCTCGGATGCGAGAGTGAATAAATCACAGGCCTTGCTTCCTGGCAGCCTACAGTTCGGGGGTTATAAACATGTACAAAGGTACTCAGTACAGTCTGCACAGTGGAGCTTATCCGGGCACTAAAGAACCTATGGAGGAGCGCCCCCCCCCCCCCC